ATCTCTAACAGATCCTATCTACTTCCCGCTGCTTCCCCCCACAGCTCTGCCTCGCTTGATACCCTGCCACACAACTTCCCCCCAGTCTCATGATGAGCAACTTGGGGACAGAGACTGTTCCCGTTTCCTCTGCTTACCACTGAAGCCAAGCGGAGGGCCTGACACGTGGGAAGAGTCCCAATGAATGTTTGCTGAAGAGAATGCATCTCCGGTATTGGAGATTGGACCCACAGGGGCCCCCCAAATTTTCTGGGGTTACCCTTTCTGGATCTCCTGTTCCCCAATGGCCTGGTGCCACTCTCCCTGGCCTGTTTCACCTGTGGTAGGTACAACCTTGGGGACTAATATTAACTAATATGCCAGTTAAACTTCACGGAAACAACAGCTCGTGAACATCCTAGGGTCACCATAACAACGTACCACGCACTTGATGGCTTAAAGCAACAGAAGTTTATTCTCTCATCGATCTGGAGGCCGGAAGTCTGAAGTCTCAGTCCCGGCAGGGCTGCCCTCCCTCATGTCTCCAGGGGAGGGTCCTCTTTTGCCTCTTACAGCTCCGGTGGCCCCAGGCGTTCCTTGCCTGGCCACTGCATCACGCCACTTCGGCCTCCCCTTCACGTGGCCTCCTGCTTCTCCCTGTCCGTCTCCCCTAGGAACACTTGTCATTGCATTTAGGGCCCACCCAGATAATCTAGTGTGACCTCACCTCGAGATCCTTAACTCAATTACATCAGCAAAGCCCTGTTTTCTAAAGAAGGTCACATTCCCAGTTTCCAGGGGTTAGGATGTGGATGCATCTTTGGGGGGTGCCACCACTCCACCCACAACAAGTAGTAATAGCTCCCATTTATGGGGTGCTTACTGTGCACCAGGCCCCAGGCTAGGCATGTCACATGGATTAGCTAATTTAATCCTCACAACCACCTTTGTCTTTCCACTCAGCCTTCCTCCCCCGGTGCCCTCCCTCTGTCGCTGGTTTTTATTCGTGGAAGAGACAGGACGGAGAACTATCACTTAATGAACCTTAAATCTCACAGCATCTCCTTTAGCTTGGTCTTATTCCTGACCCCATTTTGCAGATGAAGAAACTGAAGTCCAATTTTTCTTTTGTTTTCTTTTTTTCTTTTTCTTTTTTTTTTCTTTTCAGGTGAGGCAACCCTTGGCTGACCTCACAGATTGCAAGGACCTTGTCAGTTTACAATGCCTTATTTTTTGTGTTTTACACCCACAGCACCTGGTCTTCCTAGGTGGTCTCCCATCCAAGTACTAACCAGGCCCGACCCTGCTTAGCCTCCGAGATCAGACGGGATCGGGCTTGTTCAGGGGGGCATGGCCATAGACTTGAAGTCCAATTTTTAAAAATAGAAACAAAGTTTTAAACAGTAAGGAAGACATGAACAAACAGGTTGGGAAAGAGGCCACGCCAAGTGGCTCTGATCCAATCCTCTCTCCTCATCGAGAAGAATCATCGCTGTCCTGTTCTAACGAACACCACCTGCAGGCTCTGTTCTCCCTGCTTGATGTGGATTATTTCACTTCATTCTCACATCGATCCTACAGGTGAGGTACTGTTATCACCTCCATTACGCAGATGAGGGAATGGAGTCACCAGGTGGGTAAGTGACTTTTCCAAGGTCTCTGGCAGGTTGAGCGGAGGAGCTGGGATCCTTCCCAGGCTGATGGGCTCTGGTGCCCATGAGCCTTCACACAAAAGTGGAATCACAACCTAGGGCTCAGGGCTCCCCTCTCCAAGACAGTTTGGTGGCACCTTTCTCAGAGACATCCTTCTGCTCTTGGCCATGAGGAAGATCTCTTGCTCTTTCTCTGACTTGCCAGGGCCTTAGGAGATACTCAATCCTCATGAGTGAGGTCCGTGATCGGTTAGGAAACAATTGTCTGCGTATTATCTAATTCTGTTCCCACCATCAGCATTCTCACCCCTGTCCTATATAAGGATGGGGGAAGGTCCCTTCCCTCCTGAGCAATAAGCGCAGACGGAATCCAGGTCACTCAACTCCTCTGGCTACTGTTGTCCCTGCCACCTAGAGCCTCCCTCAGGGGAAGATCTTGGTGATAAGAGAAAGCAAATAAATGCAGAAGGAATGATGGAGTTGGATGTTTGCTGAGGAGCAGGATAATCACATAGTGTCAAAGTATCTCCCCATCAGATACTTTCTATTTACAAAGAGAAAAATAGGACCTTTAATATGGAGAAACCTGGCCAACTCCATCCTCCCCAAGTGATCAAATTCATAACATCAGCAATAGGATGAATTAGTATGATGAGCCTCCTGGTAGCATGCTCTGAAAAGAACACAACATAGCTTCTGGAATATTCCTGCCTCTTATGGGCTGAATGGTGCCTCTCTTCCCATTCATATGTTGAAGCCCTAACCCCCGGGCATCAGAATGCAGCGGATTTGGAGATCGGACCTTTAAGGGATGATTAAGTTAAAATGAGGCCATTAGGGTGGGCCCTGACCCAATCTGAATGGTGTCCTTATAAGAAGAAGAAGTTTGGACACACACAGAGACACCGAGGATGCATGTGCACAGAGGAGAGACCACGTGAGGACACAGTGAGAAGGTGGCCATCTGCAAGCCAGAGAGAGAGGCCTCAGAAGAAACCGGACCTGCTGACTTCCAGCCTCCAGAATTGTGAGAAAATAAGTATCTATTTAAGCCGTCTAGTCTCTGATATTTTGTTCATGTGCCCCGAGCAAACTAACACACGGCCCCAAACCCCCGACCTGAACTTAATCAGGAAGGAACAGCAGACAAACCCAAATGAAGGCCATTCTGCAAAGTAACTGGGCGCGAATGTCAAGGGCATGAAAGACAAAGTCAGAGCGACTGTCCCAGATTGGAAGAGGCTAAAAAAACATGAGCCTGATCTTGGACTGGATCCTGGTCTAGAGAAAAAGAAAAAAAAAAAAAATACCTTTCTCTTTGGCTATAAAAGCCATCATTAAGACAACTGGTGAATTGACTAAGGTTTGTAGATTAGACAGTTATCTTATTGCGATGTTGATTTCCTGTGGTTACTTGTTTTTTAAGAAATATACAGTGCAGTGTTTAGAGGTAAAGGAAGAAGCGATCTTGTCTGCAGCCAACTCTCAAATGATATGGAAGAAAGTGTGTTTGTGTGTGTGTGTGTGTGTGTGTGTGCGCGCGCGCGCGCACATAGAGTGAAAAAGAGAGCCAAAACAAATATAAAAAGAAGGTAACAGTCAATGTTTGCGGAATCAGGGCAAAAGATAGGTGAAAATTCTTTGCAACAAGTCAGAAATTATTTCCAAATGAAAAGTTTATAACCTCCCATCGTCCCTCAGGAAAAAATCACCTCACCAGCTCCTTTTCCCCGCCAGCTGCAACTTCTCTCTCCCAGCCCAGCTCTTGCCTCTCCAGGAACCCCAGCCCACTTGAAGCCACTGTTCCCAGACCTCTCTATGCCCTCATCTCCCCCAGATTCCCTCTGCCTGCACACAGTAACCCCCACACCACTCCCTGTGCCCAGGGGCTCCTCACATTTCTGCTCAGGCATCCTTAGCTCCAGAAACACTCCCATCTCCCACCCCCACCGCTGGGTCCAATGCGCAACCGGCTCTGCTCCCAGAGCATCTCATCAAGCTTCCCCATCTAAGCTCTGGTTACAGTAACAGTCCCTCACCGTCACGTGTTAAATCATTACCACCTCTAACTCATCACACTATTTGTCTCTTCCCGTCTTCCTGTCCACCTTGCTGGGTAAGCATTATCAGCCCCAGTTCACAAAGGGGAAACGCAAAGCTCGGCAAAATGATGTGTCTGGGTCACAGCTAGAAAGCGGTCGGGGCTGGATTGGAACCTAACTAACAAGCCATATGCTCTGCCTGCTGCTTCAGATTATAAATCAAGATTTACTAGCACTTGCTGAGCTGGGGGCTCTGCCAGGCTCTGGGCTAAGTGCTTGCATGAAATAAAGTGGTGACAGCACCTCCCTCAGAGGGATCACACACAATGAGCTAGCACAAGCAAGCCCTTGGGACTGTGCTCGGCACGTGGACGTGCTGTAGACTGTGAGCCAATCTTCTCATTCTTTTGAATAGACTTTATTTCTTAGAACTGGTCTAGATTTGCCGAGAACCTGAGAGGATGGCGGAGAGTTCCCGTATACTGCACACCCCGTCTCCCCTATCATTAACATCTTACATGAAGGATGCTACATCGTTGATAACTAAAGTTCGTTTCCTCAGCTTTTACTTAATGTCCTTTTTCTGTTCCAGGATCCAGTTCAGGAGGCCAGGTTCCATTTATTCGTCCGTTCTTGTTAGTTTTCACTGGTAATAGCCCTGGTCGTATTAGCTGCCTTGATTTTCAGGAGAGCTCTATGAGACACTGCTTACTCACCTGTCACCTCCATCCGCCTGCAAGCTCTTAGGGCCATGAGAGGAGCGGGGCTTGTTGTGCCAGCCCCTAAAGCCCTGCCTGAGAAGTGGGACCTAAACCAACCTCTTCTGCTGCCTACCATCTCTGCCCCTGCAGCTCAACACAGGCAGGAGGCCCTGGAGAGCCTGGCTGAGCAGGGAGGGGCCGATGAAGGGCTTGGGAGGCAGGAAGGTGGGCCTGAAGCCTTTGGCCTGCCTCCTAGCCATGGATCCAGCCCTACAGTCCACCTGCAGTCTCACCTTTTCTAGAAAGCTCCCTCCTCCCCAGCCAGAAACACTTAGCTGAGCCAGCATGAATCCCCAGCTGGGGGGCAGAAAGCCAGGATGAAGGGTGACTTTCAGAGCAGGCCCTCAGGGCCCCGGCTGGGAGGAAGCCTTCCCCCGCCTCCAGGACAGGAGTTTCACCAGAGCCCCTGGTGGCCAGGTAGGTGCCCCCCCCCAGGTGGGCCCTCTTTGCCCTAAGACGTTCCCACTTGCCACCTCCCCCATATAAGGCCTGGGTCCTCAGGTGGTAGTGGCCGAGAGGGGCGCTCGTAGGGGTCTGTGGTATATCTGATAGTGGGAGCCTTGGTCATGGCCTGGGATCACTGCGTGGCCGTGCTGCTGGTTCTGGCCACTCTGGGGCTGGGTCAGCCACCACACCCTCAGCCTAGTCTCCCAGGCCTGTGGCACAGCTATGACTGTGGGGTCAAGGGCATGCAGCTGCTGGTGTTCCCCCAGTCAGGACAGACTATTCGCTTCAAGGTGGTGGGTGAGTGTCAGCTGAATCCGGGAGCCCACCTTCCTGGGCTGCAGTGGGGAGCTGGGACCCCTCCTCTATAGTAGGAAGAGGAAGAGCAGGAGCCTCGCTCCAGCCTGAGGGTGGCAGCCCCCACGCCCCCACCCACACAGGGAGGAGGAGGGAGGAAGGCTAGTTCCCAGACTCAATTTCCCTGGTCACCCAGTGCAGCTTCTCCCATGTCCCTGTGCATGGGGGTTGGGTCACCTGGCCACCGTAGGGCCCAGGCTCTGCATTTGTAAGCATGCCCAGCTGATGCCCAGGCTGCTGGTCCACAAACCACTCTAGAGAGGCAGGGTCCTAGTGCGTGCAACCTGGTATGGAGAAAAAGGAGCTAGATTTGGAATCGGGATTTGAATCTACAACTGCTAAGCCGTGTGACCTTGAACAACTGACCTGACCTCTCTGAGCCCCTGTTCCTTATCTGTAAGATGGGAAAGATGACCCCAACCTCACTGTGCAGTCTGAACAGGGGTGTAGACCTCATGCCTGCACCTGGAACGTGTCCTGGCTGTTCTGGGCTGACGAGGCAGGCGAACACCTAGCAGGTGTCCCCAAGTAACTGCAATAGCCACTTAACCGGAAACAGGCTGAGCTACAAGATCCCAGGTTCAAATCCTCGCTTTGCGCCTCATTGTATGTGCCTGAGACAGCTCACTCGCCCTCTGCGCCTCAGCTGCCTCTTCCCCAAAATGGGGATGATTGAATTTGAAAGAACTGATGTAAAATACTTAGGCCACTGCCCGAGATCCACTTATTCCTCCACCATCTTTTGGTTTCTGCTTGCTGCTGTGTGCTGCCAACAGGGAACCTGAGCTAGAAATACCCTAAGACTGGCTAAACTCACCCATTCCCTCGCAGATATGGAAACTGAGGCTGGAGAAGGGAAGGGGCTTGCCCAAGGCCATACGGCAAGCTAGCAGCAAAGCTGAGGCTGGCACCTGGGTCCTGTGGGAGCCATCTCAGCAGAACCCAACAGCCTCCGGCTTCGCCCTTCGGCCTCCCCGACTCCTCGCCTCCATCCCTCTCTTCCCCGCCCCACCCCAGATGAATTTGGAAACAGATTCGAAGTGAACAACTGCTCCATCTGCTACCACTGGGTCACAGCCAAGCCCCAGGAGCTTGCGGTCTTCTCAGCCGACTACAAAGGCTGCCACGTGCTGGAGAAGGTAGGGGCCACTCACTGCATTGTGGGCGAGTCCCAGGGCCAGGTGCCAGCATGGCCGAACACAGTGTCAGGCTGGGGAGGTCTCTCTTGGACCAGGGACACATGAGCTCCCAGGATCGCACTGTGAGCGGATGAGTGAGAGGGAGTAAGACCTGAGCGCAGGCACTTCCTGGGACCCACCTACAAAGCCAGTTCCCTGCCCGACACTGAGTTGGGATCTTGTGACATCTCTGCCTGAAGCCTGGGTGGCCTCACCCAACTGTTATCCTGTCACCTTCTCACTCACAGGACGGGCGCTCCCACCTTACAGTGTTCATAGAAGCTGTGCTGCCCGATGGTCGTGTCGATGTAGCACAAGATGTCACTCTGGTCTGTCCCAAACCTGACCACACCTGGACTCTGGCCGGCCACCTGGTGCCACCCACCACATTCTCACTTTCTACCCCTCCTCGTCGTCCCCTCCGTCCCTCCCCAGAGCACAGCTTTGTCCATCCAACCCCCACCTCACCATCCCTCAGATCTGGACCCACCCACCCCACCCTGGCTCGCCCCCAGTGGGGCACCTTGGAGTACTGGGAGGTGGACCAGCCAGTTTACACAGGTACGTAGGACTCCTCTGCGTGCACGTACCCTGTGTCAGGCCCTTCTGGAGTATCGGGAGGCCTGACAGCACTTCACCGGGCTCAAGAAACTGCCTCCCTCCATTTTCCTGGAAGTCTGCTGCCCACTCGGCTCCTCTCATGTCTTTACCACCCTGTCACCAACCCCAGGGACCCATCTGACTCCGGAGCAGTGCCAGGTGGCCTCTGGGCACATCCCCTGCACAGCGAGAAGAAGTTCGAAGGAAGCCTGTCAGCAAGCGGGCTGCTGCTATGACAACACCAGAGAAGTTCCCTGTTACTATAGCAACACAGGTACCACTTTCCACACCAAGCATGGGCCTATCCTCTGAATCCTGAAGGGCTTCCTCCTCCACCCCACCCCGCAAGCTGAAACTGCTTCACACCCTGTTCCTAGGAGAGCCTGCCCCCCTTCCCCCACGGACTGCAGAAGAGACAATTGGGTGGGAGACCGCACGTGCCAGCTGGCCTGACAAGTTACCCCAGGAAACTATTACTAGATCTGCCGTTACATGTTCCCCTACCTTTAGATCTGGAACATCCCAGCTCGAATGATAACTTAAATGGTGACCTGACTTTTAGACTATAGCTCAACTGTCTGGGTCCGTCAAGGGATCACGCAAGCTGACAGGCCCCAGGTGGAGAGTAAGAGAATCCGGGTCTCTCGACTCCTGGGCCAACCCTTAAATACTGATCGTCACTGGCCCATCCCGCTGTGTCTGTGCTGGATGGACATCAAACCCCAAGGCCCTGATCAGCCTGTTTGCTCTGCCTTTGACCCAGCCACTGTCCAGTGCTTCAGAAATGGCCATTTCATCTTGGTGGTGTCCCAAGAAACAGCCTTGGCACACAGGATCACGCTGGCCAACATCCACCTGGCCTACGCCCCTACCAGCTGCTCCCCGACCCAGGAAATGGGGTCCTTCATAGTCTTCCACTTTCCTCTCACCCGCTGTGGCACTACAGCCCAGGTAGGCACCGGGGCCACAGGCTGGTGCCCCGTGCTGGGCCCTGGGAGGGTCTCGCCAGCTGTCTCCTCCCACAGGTGGTTGGCAACCAGCTCGTCTATGAGAACCAGCTAGTGTCCGCCATCGATGTCCGAGTGGGGCCGCGAGGTTCCGTCACACGGGACGGCACTTTCCGGTGAGGGGGAGCCTTCTTTGAAAAGGCCGGGCGGGCTGTGGGCTTGGGAGTGAAGGGAGCATCGGTGAGCTTGGAACAGGCTTCGGAGCCATCTGGGTTCATGTGGAAACTCTCAGCTGTGAGACAAGGGCTACGCTAGTGTCCGCCATCGATGTCCGAGTGGGGCCGCGAGGTTCCGTCACACGGGACGGCACTTTCCGGTGAGGGGGAGCCTTCTTTGAAAAGGCCGGGCGGGCTGTGGGCTTGGGAGTGAAGGGAGCATCGGTGAGCTTGGAACAGGCTTCGGAGCCATCTGGGTTCGTGTGGAAACTCTTAGCTGTGAGACAAGGGCTACCTCTTCCCAGCCTCTCTAAGCAGGCAGGGGGAACACCCCTCAGTCAGGGCTCGTGTGAGCATTCGATGGGGTCTGCCCACACCTGGCAGGTAGAAGCCATGGCAGTGCCCGTGAGGGCCAGAGTCCTCAAAGGCACTTGCCTTTATCCCTCCAAGAACTAAGCTCAGAAACTACGCAACCACAAACGAAGCAGCAAGTGTCCCCTCCGGGCCCCAGGAAGAGGCTGTGACTATGGCTGTTGCTGCCTCCTGATATCAGAGGTTCTGAAGCCACAGATGAGGCAGAAGATACCTGGGTCTGAGGCTCCCTGAGGGTGTGGCGGGGGGCGGAGCAAGCAGAACGCTCCAGGACAAAAGGCCGCTGGCTCAGGGTGGCATTGCCATGCCTGTTAGCACCTAGTTTTTGCCCCCTCTCCACCCCCAACTGCAGGATGTCTTCCCTGGGGGCTTCCATCCAGGCCTCACACTCAGAGCTCCATCTCAAGTAAGGTACAGCGCTCAGGAGCCAGGGATGAGGCTGATGGGGTCGGGTGGGGTCAGCTACTCTTGCAGATACCTCAGGGTTGCTGGGCGTGGCCCTACCATGACTGTGCAGGGGCACGTAGGCTAGTGAGGGACACTAGACCCAGTGACAGACCAGCTACAACGGCAGGGGCAATGGCAACACTGGGCCGCTATCTTGTGACCTCACTCAAAATCGACCACAGACATCCGAGGGATGGAGTCATTGCCATTTCACCAGTGAGAAAACTGAGTCTTAGGTCAAACCACCTGCTCGTGGTCCCACAGCCTGACAGCCTGACAGCAGACAGCTCCCAGGCCTGCCAGCCTCACTCGACTCTCAGGTTCCGAGGGACCCTCAAATGCCTGCCCCACGTCACCATCCTGCTGTGCCATCCTGCTGCACCCCCTGTCCTAGAAGAGGGCCTGGCACCGCAAGCTCGAGCTGTCCGAGGAAGATGAGACGGGCAGGGATGCGTGTTGCCCTGGCGATTGCTTGGGTGCTGTCCATCCACCTCGCTGGACTGGGCTGTTTATTGCACCCACATAGTCAGTACCTGGCTTGCCGTGTAAGCCAGATGTGCTGATTCTGTGTCTTCTTCTCCCGTCCACTTACACTTGAACTTCAGGCTTAATGTTCGCTGTATCTTCAATGCCAGTGACTTCCTGCCCCTCCAGGCATCCATCTTCCCACCCCCTTCACCGGCACCGGTGACCCAGTCTGGCCCCCTGCGGTTCGAGCTGCTGATCGCCAAGGGTACAATGTCCCCCTTCTTTTCCTGCCCCCACTTCCCAGATGCACAGCCCCACCACCACCACCACCACCGCAAGGGGCTCATGAGCCCCTCTCCCTGCAGATGAGACTTTCCGCTCCTACTACCGGGAGGAGGACTACCCGATCGTGAGGCTGCTCCGGGTGCCCATCCCGGTGGAGGTCCGGCTCCTGCAGAGGACAGACCCCAGTCTGGTCCTAGTGCTGCATCGGTGCTGGGCTGCCCCCAGCGTAAACCCCTTCCAGCAGCCCCAGTGGCCCATCCTGTCTGAGGGGTGAGTAGGGGGAGTGGCCCCAAGGCTCCCTCTGCCTGCCCGCCCCCACTCCCCCACCCCCGTCTCCTCCGGAGGCAGCCTCCTTGACTTCTCTCCTTCCCAGGTGTCCTTTCGAGGGTGACAGCTACAGGACCCGAATGGTGGCCTCGGACAGGGCTGATCTACCCTTCCCAACTCACTACCAGCGCTTCACGGTTGCCGCCTTCGCCTTCCTGGACTCTGGCTCCCAGAGGGCCCTCAGGGGACCGGTAAGAAACGCCATGACCCTCGCACCTGTCTGCTCCCTATCTAAGTGACATAACTGGTCTCCAATCTTTCCAGCACCCTGTGAGCTGATGCAAACAAGGGTTCCCAGACAGGCTCGGTTTTTACCAAGTGTCTGGAGGGCAGCGAGCCCAGGTCTTGGCTTTGGGTCAGCCCAGAGGTGACCCATAAATGACTCGAGAGGAAAGAAGGAAAATGCCGAGTGAGAATGCCATGGACTAGGTCTGCGCGCTGGTCACAGTGTTGAGAGTAGCCTGGGTCCTGGATGCTACGACTCCAGCTCAGTGCTTCTTGCTGAGGACACGGAGTCAGGCCCTGCCTCGACCTTCCTCTTCCCATCAGGTTTACTTCTTCTGCAGCGCCTCTGCCTGCTCCCCCTCAGGGCCGGAGACTTGCTCAGCTACCTGTGGCTCTGGGACCGCAAGTGAGTCTGGGGTAGGGGTGGGCTGGGGGGTGTTCCGCATTCTTTCATGTGTCCACAGGCTTGGTCCTGGCTTCTGGGCCACTAGGGCCTAAAGACCAACCCAAGATGCCACTCGTCCCCCTGGCAGGACGCCAACGCTCCCCAGGTCACAATGACACTGCCACACCCCAGCACATCGTGAGCTCTCCGGGGCCAGTGGGCTTTGAGGATTCTCACAGCCAGGAACCCACAATGGGGGCCTCAGGTACGAGGGCCTTGGTCGCCAGGGTGCCCTGAGGAAATGGGGAACCTCCAGCTAGAGTGAGGACAGGACACGGTGTGACTGCAGTCAGTGGGGAACGACGCAGACTGGGGTGGGGGGTGGAGTGGGGAGAGGCCCACCTCACCTGTGGGAGGGCAGCTTTAGCTCTGCCCACATGATTGCAAGGTCTGGCATGGAGGGGGCTCCGCCCAGCCCTGAAACCCTCCAAATCCCTCTCCCCACAGGCTCCACCAGGAACTCCAACCCGAGGCCTCTCCTCTGGGCGGTCCTTTTGCTGCTGGCTGTTGCCCTGGTCCTCGGGGGCAGTGTCTTCATGGGCCTGAGCCAGACCAAGGCCTAGAGGCTCCAGGAAGGCAACAGAGTGTGAACGGTTTAATAAACCACGGTTTCCAGGCTACCGATGGCAGGTGTGGAAAGCTCTTTGTGATGCGCAGGACGGAATTCTTTTAGAAGCTTGTTCCTTTCAGAACTGTGGCCTCTGTTAGAAATCCCATGTGGAGTGCAGTGTCTCCCAGGACTGAATTTGGGAGGCTCCGCCTCTTGGTGAGGGAGGGCGGCATTTCAAGCAGAGAACAGGGCAAGAGAAGGTAGAGGAAGGTGAATCACAGCAGAATCATGCCCTGCAAGAGCTGGGAATCGGGAACCTGGCAGGGCTAATGGCCTGTGAGGGCCTGTCACCTTCCCGCAGACGCAGAGTTCCAGCTAGGTGCCTTCAAAGCACACTGCTCGGCTGCCATCGTGGATAAGGGGAACTCGGAGTTCCCGGGCCCAAAAGAACTGAACCCAACTTGAAGGAGCTCCTCCCAGCCTCCCATTGAAGGATGTGGAGCCACTTTTCCGATCACCAGTCCCCTTTCCCCCCTCAACATCCCAGGACTAGTCCACGTAGCAATGGTAGGCACAGGATGAACAGCAGCAGCCTATTGGCCCTGATGCTGCCTGCCACAGTGAGCACGGTCACCAGATATGTCAGTGCCAGTGCTGGCTGTGCTGCTGGCTTTTGTTTGCCCATGGGTGACATGGCTTTATCTCTGACTTGGCAGCGAAGCCCTTCCCAGACTGACATAGAAATATTCCAGGCTGGGAACAAAGCAGGGGAGGGTGAAGGGTTAAGCCTCTGGGGGACAGAGAATAACCTGGCAGGGAAACCAGAACTTGGCTTCAGACATTCTTCTGGGCCTTTGCTGAGATGACCGGCACAAAGGGCACTGTACTGCTAAGGCCAGGCCCATGGCCTTGACACTGTGCAGGGCTTCCCTTGCTCAGGCCTACTCCATTTTTCTTGTCTTCAGGATACTGGTCAACTATGGGGACTCCAGAGTTACACCCTGGCTCTGTCTCTTACTAGCTGTGTGATACTGAGTACGGACTCTGTCTGGGCCTCACTTTCTACATCTGTAAAATGGGAATAATACCTATCCTCACAGGGGTGTTAAAAAGTTACTAGATAAGGATCCTTAGAATAGTACAGAAGTTCGCCGACATTTACTGAATGCTATTGGCAGCTAGAATTTTCTTTTCTTACACCCCAAACTTAAACCTTTTTTTTTCTGGAGGACAAGCTTACAGCCCAAGGTAGGAGGGGCTGGAGGGAACCACTGCCTTCAGGCTTTTCCAGCTGGGAGCAGCAGAACAGGACACGTGGGCGGGAAGATCCAAACACTGGCTAGGGACCGTCTTCCCCTCTGTGGCTAGGGACGAGGGTTCTGTCCAGCTTCCCGGCTTGCACAGAGGCTACAGGATACACTCTTCGGGGTTAATGGAGTAAGTGAGGGGTCCTGGCTTGGATGCTGTTTGGAGGAACCAGGCTGGCTTGCTCTCAGGGGTCAGGGATCTAGTTCCAACCAGTGTTAACTCTTCCTTCTCACCACTGCCTTCACCCTACGAGCTCAGTATAAGCATTTCAAACAGCATGGAACGCTGCGTCCACGGATGGTATCTAGTGGTGTTTAAACAGAACGTGATTCTATAGATGCCGATGGGAATCGCACCGTATGACTAACTTTTCTCTGTTTTTTTAAACACCGACATCTCATGTTATCATTTTTAATAGATGCATTCTCTTCCACATTGTGGTTGAACTACAAATTTGATCTTTTTGTTAGAAACTAAGTCACAATCATGTAACTCATTCTGTTCACTATTTTGTTGGAAGAAACTTAGAACTGCTGGGTCAAAAGCTATGCCCCTTCCGACCATCAGGCTCTGGGACAGTATACGTGCCTGTCCCCCACAGCCTGGCCACCACAGATCCTATCATGCTAAGTATTTGCCTACCTGAGTGTCATATGGCAAATAGCATTGCTGATTTAAAACTGACCTCTTTGATTAGAAGCCCCTTTAATATCTAAGCCCCTGAAGCATCTTTATAGCGACTTGTCTTATAAATTGCCTCTTTGTGTCTTTTACCTACTCTCCCAAATGTTTCCTTCCTTGTCTAGAAAGAGCTTTCATTAGGCAAGGGGTCAACATCCATCTTATTTCCCATTGAAAGGGCCACTGGTTTTTCTTTGTGGGGTTCTTCCAATTTGCTATTTAAGAGAATTATATAACAATGAATATTTTCTCCATATTTTTATCTTCGAATATGACAAAGACCTTCCCCTACCCTATATAATCTTAAAAGTATCCATTTACTTTTTCTGTGACAGAGCAGTGTGTCTCTCCTACTGTCAAGTGTATAAGACTTTTGATGGGTAACTTTGACAATCGATACTTAAATTGTACGTAGATTTTCACAATACTTCTATGTCGAAGAATCGTCTGCAGAAACGGATATACAAAACGCATGAACAGTGAAGGCCACCGCTGCACCAGGGTCCCCATTCTCTCCCCAGAGGGAAGCAATACAAGCTCTGACTTCCTTAGAAAGCAAAATCTAGCCCCAATCTTGTCCAACTTAAACTTCGTCCTTCCCCTAAAACCACCTCCTGGCATGAGCAGGCACCTGAACCCTGACAACAGTTGAGTCAGACCTGATGCGGGTGATAACCGACCATTTTTGCTGACCCGTGGCAGGAAGCAGGCCTGTTACAGGGGCCTGTCAAGTTTTCTCTCTTCCTGTCCTTTTATTTAGGGAGGAGGCAGGGGCAGTGGCTCCTCCATAAGACCCAAGGGACTCCCCGCCCCGGCTCCTCCTACTTACAACACAATGATTGAGATCAAATTGATGTTGAGGTGCTTTGCCTTAAATAAATAGCGTACTTCAGCCCAAGAGTAAAATTTAACTCCTTCAAGTGTGGCTCCATGCCCAGACATTTCTATGAGGGCATGTCACATAAAAGTGCCACTTCTCGTCCAGCAATAGTTGTGGGCAGGCTAGTGTGACTACAGTGCCCCCAGGTGGCCACCTTGGTCAGTGCTCCAAGGCCGAGCACAACATGTAGCCACCCCCTCATCTTCACAAGGGAGGGACATGCAGCTTGGGAACTGGGTCCTGAAGCACAGGTCCAGGCACAGATCCTCAAAGCGCTCAAGTTCCCGTGGGAAACAATACGTGCTGATTACACCTCCAGGTGACTTCCTTTTGGACACCTGGGACTACTTGCTGCTCTTGGACCCTAAACACAAACCTCATTAGCCTGACAATATGGGTCCAGAAAAGGTGAGCCCTTTAGAACCAACTGAGACCCTCTTCCGAAAGGCTCATGTACAAGGCACCACAGCCTGGAGTTACGGCAGGCAGGGGGTGCCAGTTCCCCCGTCCATTTTGGCTGAAATAACCAACCATCTGTCATCCCCTTGCTCTTACATACTAAGATACAGAGCAGGGGCTTCGGACGGAGCCATAGGGGTGAGCCTATGTCTCTGCCACTCAGCAGCAGTGTGACATAGGTAAAAAGGGGAATGACAGCAGTGAGTACAAGGTCCCACCCTCACCTCCACATTAACATGGTTACAGGTGTACCAGAGCCATGAACCACAGGCTAAGCATGCTCAGTCACTTGGCAGGGCAGGGACAGGCACCAGAGGCTTCCTAGAGGAGTTAGTGTGTCTCTGGGGAGGGAGACCCCATATAGTAGAAGTAGAAATAGTAGTAGCGACAGTAGTAACAGAAATATCGCTAGCGATAAAAGTATTTAGCAATAGAAGTAGTAGCAATAGTAGTAATAGTAGTAGTAATAACGGAAGTATTAGTAGTGGTAAAAGGATTAGTAGTAACAAAAGTCGTAGCAGTAATATCAGTAGCAGCAATTAAAAATACATAGCATTTACGTGCAGCCACTGTTGTAAGCGCTTCTCACATGCTAATTCACTCAGCCCTTACAATAGCCCCAGTAAGTACAATTTCCCCATCTTATAGATGAAGAAACTGAACAGAGGGAAGTTAAGTAATCGGCCCAAGGCCCCACACTACGGAATGCCAGAGCCAGATTCAAAGCCAGGAGTCCGTGTCCAGAGTCCACGGCTCGCCTTCCACCCTGGCCTTGAAGGAAGAGGCATGAGGCCCACAGGGCTGCAAGAAAGATGTGCGCAGCTGCCGGGCCGCTGAAAGCAGGTTGCCTCCAGAATGGAATGAGAAAAGGTCTGGAGTAGCCAGCACACCGCCCTTCTGATGAGTGGACAGATGGCGGGACAGAGATGGAAGCATTTCAGAGCCTCAGGACCCAAACATTAGGCTCCCAGAGCGTGGGACGGCAGGCCCCCCGTTTCCTAGGGCAGAGGTTTGGAGCGGACTGGCGTGGCGTGTGATTACAGACCCTCTGAGATGTATTCTGTTCCCCTCCCAGCCCCACAGAAAACGCAGATGTAGGGACACGCCACACGCTCCACACAATTCAAAGGTGACCGCAGTGCCACTAATGACCCACGGATCCCAAAACCCCTGTACTCATCTCCTTAGTTTTCCTACACGAGGCAGGCCTGAAGACTGCACACCAACATCCAGCCGGAAACCATTAGCTACATGGCTGAATGCTGTGTAGCCCTGGGGTGCCACACAGCCCCAAGATGCTCCTCGTGCCCTCAACCCTCACCCCACCTGGAATGATGCTGCTCTACCCGCAAAACACAGCTGTCAGCCCATCCTTCACTCAGCAGTTTCCCTTACTCCCGAAATTTGTCCTGGCTCAGGAGAATTGCATCATGGGTCTTTTCTTATAAAAGAATCATCACACTTTTCAAATCTAAGAAATAAATACAACAAATTGGCTGAGGATATATAAGACAAATATATTCCTACGCTGAGCCATGCCTTCAAACTGCCTCATCACTCTGCTCTTGGAAAGTTACTGGAAGAACTAGCCAAAGAAGAGGGGGCGGCATGCTCAGACACGCTCACCACAGCACTATCCACAAACGGCTAAGCTGAAACTCTAGCATGTTCTCCAAAAGGTTAAGTTTCATGGACAATTCACAGGGGTTACAGATACACATAAGGGCTTTCCCGGCCAAATATGTAGTTGAGGAAACTGGGTTAAAAAGTGTTTTTTTTTCCTACAGCTTTCAAAGGTTTTTCTAGCTACTCAGCATTCTGACCCTCCAAGGAAGGTATGGCATGCCCAAACGTACTGGACCACGGAACACGGAACACAGACCCAGCAAACCACACATGGAGACTTTTGCTGCATCGATATGGACCTGTGCTTTGACCCACAGCCCCCTCCAGGTAACACTCCACGTCTTGGCTCCCTTTCCAGGCAATTCCTTATCTACAACCACGAACTCCCACTTCCTCAGCTCACATGCTCTTAACTCAACCCCGTCAGGCTTCCAGCCCCGATACTCTATTGGGGGGTCACTCATCAAGGGTACTGATGACCTTCCTGGGACACACCCCGTGGTCACCCACCCTCAGCCTCCATACTCCAGCCACTGGCCTCCTGTCTCCTACCGCCCCGCCCCCCGCCTCAATCACTTCAGCCTCAGAAGCTCCCTGCTGCCTGCAACACCCCTCCTCGCTTGCAGACCCGTCATTCAGGCCTCAGCTCAACTGTCAGCCCAGACAGTCCTTCCCTCACCACCCAAGCCGAAGCAGCCACATGGCGCCACTCTACAGCCCTATGTGGCACATTTGTTTTCTGATTTTTATTTACTGTTTACTGGCTGTCTCCTCTGGAACCGGCCCTACTGCAGATTTTTAAACGCCACAATTACAAATCTCCTTTATGATTTCAGCTAGTTAGGACAGGTTTCCTACCACCTTTGAGCGAAGAATCCTTACCCATGTGCTCGCTCACAGTTCCTCACCAGCGGGAAAAGGCCATTCTTCCCTGCACCTCCCCCTCCCTTCCAGGCTTGTGTGGAAGGCAACCCACAAGGCAAAGGGTGGCACAAAGGACATGAGACCCTATAAAACACAAGGTCAAGGCCTGCAGGGACATGGAAGATACAGCCTAGCAAACAGCTTGTAGATTTGATTTTCTTTTCTTTGATTTGTTGTTCAATCAAAAAAAAAAAAAAAAGAGAGAGAGACAGGTAAGACAGCTATGAAACAAAAGGAATGATGGCTTCCTGACAGCCAGTGTCCCACTGTGTGCTCCCACCCCTGACCCGCCCAGCTCCAGACACACACAGGGAGGTGGCTGCTTATTGTTTGCTTTTTTTTTAATGAAACTAGATCACTGCTTACAAAATCCTGCGTGAGCCCTCGTGCCCGACCCCTTCACAGTTCCCTTGGCTCAGCCTCTCCCCGTCTCCCAGGAACTGAAACGAGGTGGGTATGGAATGGCCGCCACCACCAACTCAGTGACCGACATGAGAGGAGAGGCCCTGACCCCGAGCCTTCAGAGGGTGACAGTTCTACCTCCCGCATCCGTTCCCGTCGGGGCTGGAGGCGGCATGGATGAGGGTGGTCCATGCTGCCATGGCTCAGGCCACCACCCAGACCAGAGTGAAATGATGTGAATGTCCCGCCCCAGACCCCCCCATTTCAGTCTCTCCCTTTCCTCCCCCCACCCCAACCCTAACTCTACCCCACTACTGAGATGAGGTTCAGCTTGCGTCAGAGGGGACAGGGCCTACAGGCTGTAGAACTTGAGGCTCCTATCCATGCCCGTGGAAGCGATGAACTTGGCGTGGTGCCCAAAGGCCACCCCTGTGGTCAGGCCGCTGTGCTCTGAGGAGAGAGACGAGAGGCGACAGTGAGAGAGGCTTTGCCGCCTCTGGGTCTGAGCGTCGGCCCCTGGTGATGCGCGTCTGATCCACCCAGCCCTTCCCCTCGGTGTTCACACCGCATGGGGCTGCCTGCCTGTTTTCCCCCTGGACTAGAACTCCCCAGGGCGAGGCTCTAGTCTGACCTGCACATTTACTTCCAGGGCCTCACACGGGGCCTGGCACATGGCAGCCACTCAAGTTTTCATTGGTGGACTGAGTGAATGGAGGACTGTCAACGCCCCCCTTGCCTGAGCTTTCGAGGCAACTGCAGCGCTGCTCAGTTCAAGCACTGGGACTGACCGGGAGCTGGGCAGAGGGCACCATGCAGAGAGGAAGCATGCGGAGCGTGTCCTTCCATACCTCACAACCTGCTCTTCCTAAAAATTCAGCTGTGTTTTCAGTTTGGTTTAAACTTCGGTAATCAGCTTGCTGGTATCTATCTAGTTCGAACTCCTCACTCGTAACTAGAACAGTCCATTGCTCATTCAAGCTCATGGGGTTCCTAACACAGGGCTGGGCTGGGCTGGGGCAGGAGAGGCTGGACGACACTCCCCATGGGACCCGGAAGATTTGTGAGCATCAGTGCAAATCCCTTCTAACAGGTGAGTACCACACCCGGAGCCAACCAGCAACCAGCTCCCCACTACAAAGTCTCCCTGCGCTTCTGGCCTGGCGCCCTGCCCACTCTGCTCCAGTAGGAGGCTAGTGACCCCGATGTCCACTGTGGCGGCATTTTATGTTCTTCTTCTCGCGTACTTACAATTGCAATTAAATAATCATTGGTGAAGTCATTTACATCTGCCTTCCTAACCTGACTAGAAATTCTCTTAGTGCCGACTGGATCTCTCGTATTCACTGCTCCAACCCCACCGTGGACTAAGACACAATACGGAATGAAAATGGCAAATCCTTACTATGTACTGGACACTGTTGTAATTACACACACACACTCATCTAAACGTCACAACAACTCCACTAGGTATGTACTATTATCATGCCCCAGAGAGGTTAAACAAGGTCACACGGCTTGCAGTGGCAGAGCCAGCATTTAAAGCCAGGTGCTCCTGACTTCGTTCTCTTACTCACTAAACTCTACTGTCTTGGGTTGTGAGTAAAAGCTGCTGAGGCACATCCACATCTACCCCCCTAGAAACTCCCGACCCAGGGAGATCGCCCCGCCCCCCTCTAGGCCGGAACACCTGGAGACCCCAGGTCTCAGCTGGCCTCTACCTGTGAAGTGAAGAATCTCCGTCCACTGTTTGCAGATGTAGATCTGGACATCTGTGCCCCCAAGGGCCAGGTAGGTACCGCTCTGGTCAAAGATCAGCGACTTCACCTGCCAGAGCCAGAACGGAAGTCACACGAGGGGAACACAAACGATGGAGCAATTGAGGAGAAAGAAAAGCAATTTAGATTAATTCGGTGAATAACCAACGGAAGAGGAGGCAACCGAGAGAGCTGGGGGCAGGGGAGCGGGGGGCGGGGCACCTCAAAGTTGTTGTCCAGCTGCAGTGTCTTAAAGTTCTTAAGCTTGCGCAGATCCCAGAGCTTGACAGAGGAGTCGTCGGCCGCGGTGGCCAGGTAGTAGCCATTCTCGGAGAAGGCAATGCTGGTGATGGGGCCCGAGTGGCCAGGGAAGTTGGCCACGTTGGTGCGCTCCTGCGGGTGGGGAGTGGGCAGTGAAATGTCACTCGCTGGTCAGGGGAGGGCGAACGCGGAGCTCACCACACTCCTACCTCTGAGATGCCCTCCTCTGTCTTTCAGGGAGAAGTGGCAGGAGCAGCAGGGGTTGGTGGCCCGCCCCAGGGCCCCTAGACCACCCTTATCACGTCGCACGCACACAGCCACCCCTAGGACACCCCCAGGGCCTGGTGCCATAAGCACTTTAGCACACTGAGTAGTCGCAAGAGCACTGGCCTTGGGCCCCAGATGGAGGCCGCCGTGTCCTACCTTTAAGTCCCAGATCTTGATCTGAGAGTCCATGGTTCCCGTTCCAAAAATGAGCCCATCGGGATGGAACTGCGCACAGGTGAGAGCTGTGGAGAAGGGGCGACGGCCCTGTGGTCAGAGCCCCCAGGGAGAGGCCGAGTGCGCTAGAAGGGGGGTTCTTTGTTCTTTGCATTCCCCACCGTGCCCAGCAAAACACCTGCCACTCAGCAGGTACTAGCGGAAAATGTATTTTTACAGGAACAAATGAGGAAATAAAATAAAAATGAATAAGTGAACAGCAAATGAAGAGAGAGAACCCAGTGCCTCTGAGACAACTTACAGCAGCCAGAGGTCTCATCTGTCACCTTGGTGAGTACACGCCCTGTCTGGATGTCAGAGAAGGCCCAGTACTGGAAAAAAATAAACAGAGACAACAGAGCCAGTAAGAAAGTGGGGGTCCTTCAGAAAGGCAGAGACCAGGCAGAGACCCCAATTTGGCAAACCCTTGTGAAGCCAGCTCCTCTTGGCAAAGAGAAAACATTCTCCTTGGGGTTCTGGGGAACTGGCTGGCATTGGTAAGATGTCCCCTCCTCCCAGGAGATTCAAGCTCGGGGACCAGCTGGCCTATTAGGGGCCCTGGCTGGGACCATACCTGGTCATCAGAGGAGCTCAGGAGATAGTCGCCAGTGGCGTGGAGGCTGAGGCCGGTCACAGAGCTCTCATGGGCCCGAACAACCTGTACACAAGAGGCGTTCGGGACAGACCAAATCCTGATAGTGGCATCTGGGGAGGCAGAAAACACCAGCTCCTAAAAGGAAGGCAGAGTAGAATATCAGAGAGAGAAGAGGTGGAACCTAACAGTCTCAAAAGGAGACTGAGGATGGCCACAACCCCCACAATTGCTTCTCCTTCAGCCATGCCCTGCCTGAAACCATCTATCCACCCAGTGATGCCTAGATGGGCCAATGCTAAATGATACTAAAATGGTAAATCAAAACAGTATTTGGCCTTGGAGAGGAGGCCTCGCCATCTAGTGGTAAAAAGGATAACTGCACCAGAGTGCAATTTCCCATACCGTTTCCCAGGACCAGAGAGAAATGTGGCTAAGACAACTGAGGAACTGAATTTATTTTAGTTCATTTAAATAACCACATGCGGCTATCGGCTACTGTCTGGGATGGCGCAG